AATCATCACCATCACTATCATCATCAACAAATGCATAAAATAGTTAGTAGGAGTATTAGTAATAGTAGTATATTTTTTAAAATATCACACATACACACAATAAAAAAAAATAATAGTAATAACACAAAATGGACAGATAGAAAAAAGACATACAAATAAAAGAAAAAATATTAATAATAATCAATTAAAAAAATAAAATTTATTGTTATTTTTTATATTATTGATTTTTTTATTTTTTTATTTTTGTTTAAATTATTATTATTTATAATTTTAAAAAATAATTATTTAAAAACTTTTTTTATTAACAAATTTTTTTTTAAATTTTTTTATAAATAAATTATTTTTAGAAAAATAAATCAATATGAAAATAAATGATTGGTTTAATCAATTTCAATCAATTGAAATTCCCAAAATTGAAAATAAATGGAGTAAAAAGAAAATAGAAAAAAAACAAATCGAAGAATTTATATTTAAAGTCGAAAGTAGTTTAACAATAGTAGAAAAACTTTTAAAACAAAATTGTAGTGTTAATAGTTCAAATTTATCAAAAGGATGGCCAACACTTTTTAATTTAAGATTAGAAGAAACTTTAGAAATTTTAAAACCATCAATAATAAAAAATTTTAAAAATATTTTAAATTATTATTTAAAATTAATTTTAAAAAAATTTGAAATAAATCCTTTTATAGATTATAATAGTAATATTAATAATAATAATATCAATAGTAATATTAGTAGCAATAGTAATAATTTTAATAATAATAATAATATAAATAATAATATAAATAATAATATAAATAATAATAATTTAAATCAAATCAATAATATTAATGAAGAAAAAAAACAACTTTTTAAAGAATTATCAAAAAGTTTATTATTTTATTTACAATCACATCAATTAGATCCAGACAATTCATTACTTGGTTTTAAAGCAAATGAAAATTTAGTTAATTTATTTATTCAAAATAATAAATTTAAGAATTTAAAGACAATTCCATCAAATCTAAGTTTTAATCAATCTTTATCAAACAGTTCAAATACAATAGGTGCAAGTTTAAATACAAGTGGGTTTTATAATAGCGGGGCAGAAAATGAAAATTTATTCAACAATGAAAATGAATTAACAATTGAAAATTTATTAGAAATTATAGAAAATTGGTCAAAGTTAAAAGATAAAGAAGTTTCGAAAGAAGTTAAAGATTTTTTAAAATTTAAAGACCAATTTAATATATTCGAAGGTGATTTATTAATAATTAAAGTTGATAATAATGATAATTTTTATGATGACAATTTATTTTTACAACAACAACAATCATTAAATTATTGTAAATCAAATTATATTTTTTCAAGATTTTCTGGGCATATTAAAGATCAAAATGATATTTCAATTAAATTAAATCAACAAAAACAAATAAGTAATAATTTAAATAATAATAATTTAAATAATAATAATTTAAATAATACAAGTAATAATAATTTTAATAATAATAATAACAATAATAATGAAATTAATAATAATAATATAAAATATTTATCATGTTTTATAAATTCAAAAGAAACAAATTGGTTATGGATTAAAAAAGAAAATATTTTTAAAATTTCAAATAATTTTTTCAAGAATAATTTTTTTAAATCAAATATTTTAAATTTAATACAATGCCCAACTAATAAACTAAATAAAATAATAAATATTAAAGAAAAAGAATTATTATTTCAATATTTAATTACAAATAATCAAATTGAAAATCAATTATTATTAGAATTAGATAATCAAGCTTATACAAATTTTCAATATAAAGATTTAAACAACTTAAGAAAACTCGGCCTATTATTTGTTCAATTGTTAAATAATCAACTATCCAGTGATCTAGTTCAATCAGTTCAACAAATGGTCTCTTCTGAAACAGGAAAATTTCAAAGTACTTTAGATTCAACTCAATTATATTTACCAATTCGTAAAGAAACATTAGAACAATTTAATCAAAAATATCAAAATATAAAATTTCAACAATTTAAAAAAACTATTCAATTTTATAAAGAGAAATGTGAATTTATAATTTCAAAATTAATTCAAAATAAATTGGAAATACTGGATGGCACTAAAAAAGTTCAAATTGTAAATTGGTGGTTAACTTTAATCAAAGATCAAGTAGATTTATATTTGTCCAATCGTGGCTATGATAAGAATGCTGTGCCTGCTGACTATACCTTAACTCCACCTCAAAGTATGTCAAAGGTTGCAAATAATCTTGTTGTGCTCCATAATATTATCCCTAGTGCTGGTAAACTTATTGATCAAGACCTTTTAATGTTAATCAAAAATTTAAAAGATAAAATTTATCCAGTTATCAAAGATTTCATTACAAATATCAACTTTATATTAATAGAATGGTTAGATATAGAATTGAATCAAGATTTATTAAATTATTTAAACAAATACAATAGTTATCAAGAAAACAATTTAGAAATTAATAATAATGAATTTAAATATCAAGAATTTTTAATAGAACAATTTTTTAAAGGTTCAGAAAAATCAAAAAATTATTTATCAAATGATAATATTTTCAAAATTAAAAGAATGATCAAGGATATAGAATATTTAACTCAAATGATTAAAGTCGAAAATTCAATACCAAGTGAAAGTTATTTCTTTAGTGATGAACATAAATTTAATTCAGAAATCATTCCAATTAGTGGTTTAATTTATGGCAGATTCTTTAGAATTGAAAATGAATTACGTACAGTTTTAGAATGTTGGAAAGATTATAATAATAGTTTAAATTTTAAACAATTTAAAATTAATAACAATTTAAATAATTTAATAAATAAAAACTATAATCAACAATCAATAAATCAGCAACCAATAAATCAACAACCAATAAATCAGCAATCACCACCATCACAAATTAATAGTAATATTATAATTAATCATCAAAGAAATATTAGTAATAATGGTAGCTATCATAGTAGTAATCATAGTAAAATTATTCATAACAATACAATTAATAATAATGATTCATCTTTACATTCAACTTTTTCAAATTCAAATTCCAGTTCAATTGAAGAGAATCTAAACTCAGTGATGATGGATGATGATGATAATTTAATAAATGATAACAATACTGCTGCTAGAAATTATTTATTATCACAAATTACACCAATACCAAAATTCAATATTCCCGAAATTATAATTAACGATGTAAATACACCACCAAATTTTGCAAAAAAATTTTTAAATATAGAAGAACAAGATAATCAAGAAATTAATAATAGAAATAATAATAATAACACTTTAAATAATAGTAATAATAATTTAAATAATAGTGAAGATACAGATATTGAAGAAGAAATTGAACTTTATAATAATAGAAACAATAATAACAATAATAAAAAAAGAATAAATTCAATATCATCATCAACCTCAACAATTCAAAATGAAGAAATAATTAATGAAATTTCAGATATTTCAAATATAGTTTTTACAGATGAAACTTCATCATCATCATCGGAAGAAGAATTAGAAATTGAATACGATAAACCACCAATGTTAGTATTCGATTATGAAGATAATAATAATAATAATAATAAAATGCAATCACAAAAATTACAATTTAAAGATAATATTAATCAGCCATCAATTTCAATATCAATCGATCAATCTAAAAGAAAGAGTTTTTGGAATACTTTAAAATTTAGAAAAAGAAAATCAAATTCTTTAAGTTAATTTTTAATTTTAGAAAAAAAATAAAACTTTATTTGTAAACAATTTATTTATTAAAAACAAATAATTTAAATATTAATTTATTTATTAATTTTAAAAAAAAAAAAAAAAAATCCAATACCTATTGTATTATTATATATGGATTATGTTATATTTATATAATTTATATATTTATTTTTTTTATAAAAAATTTTTTATATTTTTATTTTTTTTTAATTTGGAAATTATTATTTTTTTTTATTATTTATTTTTATTATTTATTGTTTATATATTTTTAAGAAGTTCTAAATTGATAATCGCCACTTAAACAAACCTATTATTATAAAAATTAAAATAATAATTAATATTTTAAAATTGGAAAAAAAAAAAACCTATAATAATTTTATACTTACATAACGAACCCAAGGAAGAGCTTGATAACCAGATTTTTCAATAATTTTAAGATATCTAACTTGAATACCAGATACGGTATAATATGGAATTTCAAATTTGACCATGATTGGTGGTTTAGTAGCTGGTTTTTCATCAGAGATTGATGGTAAACCAAAATGGGCTCTCATTAAAAATTCTCTACCACCACCTGGGAATTGTTTGATGGTCCAAATGATAGCATCTTTTTCTGGTGCATATTTGCAAGTACCAACTGTACATCTGAATTTTGGTGTATCTGCATCTGGTGGAACTGGTACAATAATTTCTACATTGTTTGCAATTGACTTACCTTTAAATTGTGATTTTGCTTTAACCATATATTCGACACGACTGTGTGCATGAGTATCGCTAATACATTCTACCCAAATTAATGGTTTAACTGTAGTATTTAAACGATAGCTCATCAATTCGAATTCACCATCTGGTGGAATAAATGAAATTGTTCTATCGTTTTCAAATTTGGATAATCTAACACATTGATGAAATTTAACATCTTCTAATTCTACACCTTTTCCTTTTGGTGCACCAGCTAAAAATAAATAAAAAAAATAAAAAATAATTAGTTATTATATAAAATAAATATAAATTTAAATTTTTAAAAAAAAACTTACTTTTAGCGCTATTTTCAAATAAAATTTTATCATTTAAACCAAGTCTTAATTCTGGCATACCTGAAAGCTTTGATTTCATTTTAACTGCACCAACAATTTCTGATCTTAAAACTGTACCATTGGCTGAAACTAAAAGATTAATTGATTCGACAACATCAAGAAATACTTCGTTTTTATTATATTTAATACCTTCTTTTCTCCATGAAACTGCACCAGTAATTGTACCAGTAACAGAGATTGGTAACATACCTTTTGCTCCTCTTTCTAATTTATAACCTTCTTGAGTAATATATTCTTGAAGAATTTTTGGTTCTGTTGATTGTGGATAACCAAAATCCATCATTTCATCTAATAATTCATAAATGATTACAAAGTTATCTCTAATACTTTCTTCTTCTAATTCTTTAAAATATTCGTTAAAAACTTCAATCATTTTATATAAAAATAATAATATAGTTGCTGCGTTTGCATTTCTTTCTGTTGTTGCTAATACTATATGATTTATTATTTATTTATAATTTATTTTTGTTATTAAATAAAAGTTATTAGTTAAATGATATATTTTTTGTTTTTTTTTTTTTAATTTTTTTTTTACTTACAAAATAAATTATTATGTTTAACATAGATATATGAAATACCATCTTCTTGAATGATTGGTTTTAAATTAAGATCCTCTTCTTCTAATATTTTCGAAACAAATTTGGTAGCAACGCTCATTGGTACATCACCACGATAATTACGTGAGATTAAAACCTTTCCTTTTGAATCCATTAAAAAGATAGCTGATGCTGCCATTTTTAATCTATTCTTTTCTTTTCTTTTTTTTTTAAATTAAAAAAGAAATCTATATAAATATATAAAAAAAAAGAATATAATTTAAAAATATTGAATAATAAAAAAAAAAAAATAAAAAAAAAAAAAAAAACTAATATCTTTAAAAAATAATAAAAAAAATTTAATAAAAATAATAAAAAAAAAAAAAACTAATTTATTTTTGAAATTTTTTTTTAATTTTTTTTTTTTAAAAATTTTTTTTATTTTTTCAAAACAAAACTTTTTAAGGGACTTTCAGGTTTAACCCCCCCAACCCCCCCTTTCCCAATTCCCCTAAAAACCAATTTTTCTTCCCCCTTATTGGTTAATTTTTCTTTTTAAAAAAAATTAAAAAAATACCTTTACCAAATTAAAAATAACCATTTTTTTTATAATAAAAAAATAAAAAAATGGAATTTTCCCAAAAAATGTTTTCTTTCCAATAAATTAAAAAAATAAATTCCAGTTAATTTTTTTTAATATATCTAATTAAAAATATTTATAAAATGTTTCAAAATAATGAAAATATAATAATTTTAAATAAAAAAAGATTTTATTTATAACCGAATAAAAATTGTCGTTATAAAAAAATTTTTTTAATTTTTAAAAAAAAACTTTTTTTTTTTTTTTTTTTTTATTTTTTTTTTTTTTTTTTTCTTTTTTTTTTTTTTATTTTTTTTTATTTTTGTATAAATCATTTATAAATTTAAAAAAAAAAGTCATTCACAAACTCAACTCAATACAACCAATAAAACCAAATCCATTTTTTTTTTTTATTAAACTACAAGAGGAAAAAAAAAATTATCAATATCAAAATTTTAATCAATTGATTTTTTTTTTAAAATTTTTTAAAATTTTTTTATTTATTTTTTTAATAATCTTTTTTGTTTAAAGACAATTTAACAACAATATAATAATATAACAGTAATTGTATTAATAAGAAAATAGTAATATTAATAATAGTAGTATAATAAAAGTAAAATAGTATAATAGTAAAAAATAATAATTTATGATAATATAAAAAAATGGAGCCAATAAATAGTTATAATAATAGTTTTGATAAAAATATTGGTTTATCAGATTTTTGTTTTTTAGATAAAATCGAAGAAATTGATATTTTAAGTAATTTATCAACAAGATTCAATAGAGATATTATATATACATATATTGGTGATCAAGTTGTCAGTATAAATCCATTTTCAAAAAAACCAAATTTATATGATGAAAAGTTATTAAAATCATATCAAAATATGTACATGTACGAAGTTTCACCTCATATTTATGCTTTGGCTGAGGATACCTATAAAAAGTTGGTTTTATCAAAAGAAAATCAATGTGTAATTATAACTGGTGAAAGTGGTGCTGGTATGTAAATCATTTTTTTTTTCTTTAAAATCAATCAATTTATTAACATTACTTTTTTTTTTTTTTTATTTTAAATTTATAGGTAAAACTGAATCATCAAAAATTTTTTTAAATTATTTAAAAAATATCTCAAATGATAAATTTAATAAAACTGAAAATATTATTAAATTGGTTTTAGAGTCAAACAATATATTAGAGTCATTTGGTAATGCTAAAACATTGCGTAATGATAATTCAAGTAGATTCGGTAAATTTATAGAAATAGAATTTGATGGAAAGGGTTCTCCAATCTCTGGTAAAATTTCACAATTTTTATTAGAAAAATCAAGAGTTCATAGTCGAGCCATAGGTGAAAGAAGTTTTCACATTTTTTATCAATTTTTAACATCAAGAGAATTGACCGATAGACATCAAATACCAAGCGATCCATCATATTACAAATATTTAAAAGATTCAATGTGTTACTCTGTTTCAACAGTCAACGATACTAAAGATTTCCAAAGCCTCATAGGGTCATTAAAGTTATTAGGCTGGAGCGAAGAAGATATGAATTCAATTTGGAGAGTACTAGGTGCAATTCTTTTAATTGGTAATATCGAATTTAGTAATGATGTTGAAAAGAATAATGTTGATGCTGTCTATGTCTCTACACCCGATACTTTAAAGAAAGTTGCTCAATTACTTCAATGCAAAACTGACCTATTGGAAAAATCATTAATTTCAAGATCATTAACATTGGGTGCCGGTAAAAGACAAAGTAGTATAAGGGTTTTATTAAATCAATCACAAGCTAGAGAGACCAGAGACGCCTTTGCCAAAGTATTATACGATAGATTGTTTTCCTCTATTATCGAAAGAATCAATGTTACAATTGCAAATGGAATTGATCACAAGTGTATTGAAATGTCAATTGGTATATTAGATATTTATGGTTTTGAAATCTTTGAAAATAATTCTTTCGAACAATTTATTATCAACTATTCCAATGAAAAACTTCAACAACTATTCATCAATTTAGTATTACGTCAAGAACAAGAAGAGTATTTAAAAGAAGGTATCGAATGGAAAACTATAGATAATTATTTTGACAATACTCCAATCATCGATTTAATTGAGGGTCAACCAGTTGGTTTAATTAAACTATTAGAGGAGGCTTGCTTAATTGGTCAAAGTACACCAGAGTTATTATTACAAAAATTCAATCAATTCTTTTCAAAAAATAATTATTTTGAATCATTCGAATCAACAAATAATTTCCAAATTGAATCAAAATCATTCACTTTAAAACATTATGCAGGTGATGTAAATTATAATTTAGAGGTAATTATTTAATTATTTTTATAAATAATTTTAAATTCCAAGGATATTAATTTTTTTTTTTCTTTAAAAATAATTATAGAATTTTATATTTAAAAATAAAGATCAATTATATCAAGATTTAATTTTACAATTGAAAGTAGTTCAAATAAATTTATTTTGGGATTATTTAAAATTGATTTTTTGAAAATCAATCCATCAGGCGTAAAGAAAATACCAATTACAGCTATAACTCAATTTAAAAATTCAATTAATGATTTAATTAGTAAATTAAACTCTAGCCAATTACATATATCCGTTGTATAAAGTCAAATAATGAAAAGAGAGCCAATTATTTTGATTTCGAATGTGTAAAACATCAAATTAAATATTTAAATATTCAAGAAACAATTCGTGTTAGAAAAGCAGGTTATTGTCATAAACAACATTACACTAGATTTTTAAATCGTTATAAAATGTTAAGCAATGAAACATGGCCATTCTGGAATGGTACTCCAAAAGAAGGTGTTATGGCAATTGTCAAAGCAAGTCAAGTTCAAAATTCACTTATGGAGTGTCAATTTGGTAAAAAGAAATTATTTATTAAATCTGCATCAACATTGTTCCACTTTGAAGAGCTTCGTACAAAGATTTTACCAAAGGTTGTCATTGAGATTCAAAGAGTTTGGAGGGGTTATATGGCTAGAAAGTGGTACAAGAGAGAATTGGATCGTTTGAAATTAGAAAAAGAAGAAATGCAAAAACAACTAAAGAGAAAACAATCTGCACAATTAATTCAAAAGTTTTATTTAAATTATAAAGTAAGAACCTATGTAAAGAAATTAAAACCATGGTGTGTAGGTCCATACTATAACAAGGGCCACATTATGCCAACATTATGGTTACGTAAAACTCTAATCGACTCGATAATGCAAACGATCCACATTGCTTGGTGGGCCAAAGTTAAGGTTACATCACTTAACATGGAACAACGTGCCTTGGTTCGTCAAAAGATTTTAGCATTGGATTTGTTTGGTATGGGTTATTCTAGAAAGAAGGAATGGGATTGTCGTAGAAAATTTACAGCCGATTATCTTTCAGATGATAGCAATCCAAAGAAACAACAATTCACAGAAGCTGTCCAATTACTTTTCCAAAAAGGTGGTGATAAAGAAATTTTATTTGCCGATAATGTAATTAAAATTAATAAGCGTGGTAAAAGTCAATTACGTTCAATCATTATTACTGACCAACACATTTACAAGTATGATCCAAAGAAATACACTCAAAAGAAAGTAGGTTTAAAACTCCACTCTATCGTAGCACTCTCAACATCAAATAAAAAAGATACATTCTTAGCAATTCATTTCAAACAGCCAATCCGTGATTTATTCATTGACTTGGGTTGTGATTTTGTAGAAAAAGTATCCGAAGTATCAACCAATTTAATTCAACAAGTATTTAAATTAACTGGAACCACTATTCCCTTATTATTCCGTGATCCTTTGACCTTCAACAACAGCAGAGACTCTCGTAATCATGGTACTGATTTCGTAGTATCATTCTCACAATATCCAAAAGGCAAAGAACAAAGACAATGTACATTTATAAAAGGAAAAGGTAATACTGCAATAATTCATTATAATTTAAATGATTAAAAAAAAAATAATAAAAAAATAAAATAAAATCAAACCAAACCAAAACGAAATATATTTATTTTAAAAAATCATAAAAAACAGATATAAAAAATAAAACAATTTTTTTCTATTTTTTTTTCCTCAAAAAATACTATAAAATCCATATTCTTTGTTTTTTTTGATAATTTTTTGGGATTAAATATTTTTTCCTTTTTTTTTTATTTTTTAAAAAATTAATTTTTTGGAATTAAATTTGTTTTTTTTTAAAAACAAAATTAATTTTTTTTTATTTTTTTTTTCAAAGTTTTTTTAAAAATATCTTTTTTTTTTATAAACAAATAAATAGTTATTATATCCTTTATATTAAAAAAAAAAAAAAAAGATGGGGTATCAAATTAAAAACTCTTTTGATACCAAACTCTTTAATACAGATAATAATAAAATTTTTAAAGATAAAAAGTTTTATTGTTTTTCTCTTGTAAAATGCCCCAAAGAAAAATCAATTAAAGAAGATATAATGAAATTAATTGAAATTCATGGTGGTACTGTACAATACTGTGTTCAAAAGTTTTCAACAGACTATATCATTCTTTGTAATAGCAAAACACATTATGATAAAAATGATTCATACTATGCATACCAACCAAATTTGTAAGTATAATATAAAAACTAAATAATTTTAAAAAAAAATATTATTAACATAGTTTAAAATTAGATTTTCAAACTATGAAAAATATAAAAGTTATAATATAAATATATTGTCGTATGATTTTTTGGTTGCCTCCATAGAAAGAAATGAAATCATTGACGATTTAGGTAGTTACTTATTATACGATATGAAAGAAGTAGATAATGTTTTAGAACTTTCTTTTGATCATCCTGATACTGAAGATTTAGATAATCCTTTTTATGATTTCCATTATGGGTATGATGACAATAATGGTACAAGTGAATCAAAAGTGAATTATGGAGAAGAAGAAAACGAAAATGATAAAGAAAGAGAAGAAGAAGAAGAAGAAAAGGATAATATGTATGATTTATTTGATTTTAGTGAAAAATTAATATCACAAGAAGAATCAAATCAAGAAGGAATGTTTGATTTATTTGATTTTGGGGACAATGAAGAAAAGCAAATAGAAAAAAAGAAAGAAACTGAAGAAGATGGAGAAATGTGTGATCTTTTTAATTTTAATGAAGATGAACTCAGTCATAATAAACCAAAATTAACAGAAAAGAATAATTTATACAATCAATACACTTGGGGTTTTTTATTTCAGTTTTCAAATTTGGGTATTAAAGCATATGATCAATTACCACAGGAATTAAAAAATAGAGAAATTAAAGGTTTTTGTCAAAATCCAAAAGGATTTACAGCCATTACCACAAAATCTCAAGAATTATTCTGCTATGAAAAAACAATGAAGGTTAAAAAAATTCAACATTCACAATGCAAAGAGGTCTCTTTAGGCCAAGACCATACATTGATTTTAACAAGACAGATTGCCTATGACGTACCTTATACCTATTTATTTTCTACCGGTACAAATCATTTTGGTCAATTGGGAATAGGTAAAGATAGCGAGCCAAGTGGCGAAGAATCTGGTCTCAAAGGAGACCCAAGTATAAACTTCTACGAGGTACCAAAGTATCTTTTAAAAGGCTTCCAAATTGATATGATATCATGTGGCAAAAACTTTTCAATTTTATTAGATAATCAATCAAATCTTTTTTCATTTGGTCAAAATGATTATGGTCAATTGGGTCTTGGTCATTGTGATAAAACCAATGGCATTTGTAAAATAGAAAAGCCAAAGGGTCTTGACAGAGTTTGTTATATTTCATCAGGCGAAAACCATACTGTAGTAATTGCACCAGATACAAAGCAAAACAATGATTATTATTGGGGCTGGGGTAGTAATTCTCAAGGTCAATTGGAAAATAAATTTTCAAATAAACCACACCAATTCCAGTTTTATAATGAAAATAGTTATTCAAGTAAATTATTTTGTTATCAAGACTCAACAGTTATAATCAGCATAGATAATCAAATTAAAATATTTGGTACCAGAAATGAATTAGAAAATAAACTAAAAATGTATTTTTACTCAAATCAACAGTATCAATTAATTAGATTCAGAAACTCAATTGGTTTGAATGTATTGGATGCATATTCTCAAGTTAGATTTTATTTACACTCTCATAACTATTCTAGTGAAGAACACTACAAAATAATATCAAAAATTATCAAGACTTCAATTACAAATAGTGATGCCATTAAATTAGTTGCAGATTGCTTTTTAACTTCAAATATTTTAGTTTACCAACTATTAGAATCAAAATTCCCTGGAAGACTAATCCATAAAGATACCAAACGAACTCCATACCATATTGCAGCAGAATATTGTACAGCAAAAGAATCAATAAGAATATTAGAATTTTTAAATTCATTTAAAGGTTACTCAATTGATTCTCCTGATTTTGAACTTAATACACCAATTCATTTATCAGTTTTACATGTAAATTTTCTTGTAACAGAATTTTTATTATTACAAGGTTGCAATAGAAACCCAAAGAATAAAGTTGGTGAAACACCACTTCATGTCTCGGTCAAAACAGGTACAAACATTTCAATGTCATCATTGCTTTGTAGAAATGGTGCTCAGTCAATTCCAGATAGAGTCATGAAAACACCGCTACAATATTGTACAAATATGGAAGAAAAGCAAAATCTTCAAAATATCATCTTCACCAATCAAGTTTTTATCTCTTACGCTCACAAGGATTCAGTATTTGTAAATAACCTTAGAAGTATTTTTGGTTTATCATCCCTTCGTTGCTGGTTAGATGAATATCGTTTACAAGCAGGTTGCAATTGGAGAGCCGAAATTACTAGAGGTGTTGAAAACTCCCAAGTTATCGTATTTGTTGTTTCAGAAACTTCAGTTCAAAGTCTTTGGTGTAGAAAAGAATTAAAAATGTCAAAAAGCCTTGGTAAAACTATTATACCTTTATTTTTGCAACCAAATGTTTATATTGATCCATCACTATATGGTCTCTTTACCATAATCCCAAAGCAAACAAAAGAATCCTATCAAGATATGAAAGAAGAGGAAGTTTTATCAAATGTTAAAACATTATCCCGTTTAATCAATTCTTTGTTAAAAAATGGTTTAGGAGGTCGTTTGAATGAATCATCATCAAAATCATTAGTAGAAAAATATAACATTGAAAAAACAATTTACTTTACATTTAACCAAGCAGATCGTATTTTAGCAGATTATGTCAAAGAAACCCTTATCGAAAAGAATCATTTACCCTTAGTTTCAAATGATGAAATCAATGGCAAATTAGATGAAAATCAAGATCCATTCAGTTATGTTAATATATTAAAAGAAAAAAAGAAAACAATCAAAATTAGAAATTTAAAACTTGATCATAATAAACAAATCAAAGATTTACAAGATTACCACTCAAAGAAACTGTGGAAGCTTTCAAGAAAAATAGATAAAAAATTGGAAAAACTAGGTTTTTATGATAAATCATCAATAGATTATGAAATCACAAAAAAACATTTAGAATCAGAATTTAATATTAAACAAATTAAATTAGATCAACAATTAGAATTAAATAATTTAAAAAAAAACCATCTATGTCAATTAAATAAGAAATTTGGTGTAGATATTGAAAATGAATTAAAAGAATTAAATATTAAAGAAGAAAATAATAATAATAGTGATTATAATAATAATAATAATGATAATAATAATGGATATAACTATTATAGTAGTTATAACAATAATGATAATAATAGCAATAGCAATAATAATATTAGTAACTATGACAACTATTTTAGCAATAATATTGAAAATGATATCCCAGTTTTAAATAACTATAATTTTTCAAACGATAATAATAATAATAGCAGTAGTTACAATTATAATTATAGTTTTGGTGATATAGACTACAGCAGCAATAACATAGATAATAATGATAGCGATAATAGTGACATTGGTGACAATAATGATAATTATAATATAGATATTAGTTTTAATATTAAAGAAAGCAATTTGGAATATTTAAAGAAATGTTTATTACATTTAGTGTTATTTACTAAAAAAACAACATCAACCGAAATCGAAAATTATATTGAAGAAATTAAATATACATCATCGCTAAAGAAAACAATTGTCGTTATATCCCCAGATATTTCTCTCCAAGATGATGAATCAACTCCATCATTATTAAAAAATTTAACTTGGTATGAACTTGACATTAAAAATGTCGATCAAATGTTTGGTAATATCATTTTAGTTTATGATATTATTGAAAAAACCAATCAAATTAATAACCAAATTAAAAATTTCCAAAATAAATAAAAATTTTTTTTTTTTTTTATAATTTTATAAATTCGATATATTTTATTTAAAATAGATACCATTATTATTATATATATTAAAAAATGATTGGTTTATGATTAAATAGTTTTTTTTTTTTAAATTTTTATAATTTTTTGTTTTTATTTTTTTTTTGTTTTTTTATTTATTTATATTTTTAAATTTTACATAATAGTACAACAGTTACTATTGTCACCTTTAGCAGACTTTTTAGACTTTAATTCTATATATGAAGCGTTTTGAAACTGCTCGTATGATGAAAGTAATGAGGTATCTGCTAAACATTTAGCTTCGTCTGGTAAAAATAAACCTAAATCTGATGATGGGGTTACATTAATGGCTTCCCCAATTGCCAATATAGCTTCTTGTACCGTTAATGAGTTATCTAATCTTATAGTTTTATAAATTACTGGGTAATCTGATGGAAATTTAACTCTAACTTGAAGAATCATTTTTCTTTTTTATATATATTATTAATTTATTTTTTTTAAACTATAAATTATAAAATTGCTATGTTAATATTAAATAATAATAATTTTAAAATAAATATTTTATGATGATAAAATAAATAAATAAATAAAAAATATTTAAAATTATCGTTATAAAAAATAAATAAAAAACGAATAATTAATGGGTTTTAGTTGATATAAAATGTTTGTTTGTATTTTGAAATGATGTTATTTATGGTGAGGTTTATTTGAATAAAGAAAAAGAAAAAAACAGTTTTAAGAAATAAACAAATAAACAGAAAATATTTAATGGATAATTATTAGAAAAAGTTAGAGTTAAATTTAATTTTAAATTTAAATTATTTAAAAAAAAAAAAAGCTGAGTGTGGGTAGTCTTTTTGTATTTATGTGTTAGTGTTGGTATACATCCAAAGGGACCTTTTTTATTTTATTTTATTTTTTTTTATTTTTTTTTAATTCTATAAATAAACATTAATCTTTTTCTGGTAATCATAGTAAATTATGAAATGAATTTTAATTGGTTTTACACAAATTATTGTTTAAATTTTTGATTTTGATTTTATGATTAATTTTAGATTGTGTTCAATGTGTGACTAATTATTATATT